TCTTTCCCCTTTCCCTTTCTCCTTTCCTGTCCCTTCTTGCATGCTCAAATGCCAAAGAGGAAACATTTCTTCCTTAGTTTGGTTTTGCTTTTAGTTTGTTTTGCTAGCCCTCTGCAAGTGAAGACGAGGCCTGGCAGGCTGGCAGAGGCATCATGGGCCAGTCCTTCGCCGTTTCCCGTGGGGCAGAATTAAGCACCCCGCGGGCCGGGCCTTGAGTTTGACACCCCTGGTCTAGACCTTCAGAGGCTTCAGGACAGCTGAAGGCCTCATTCCGGACTACATTTGAATTCTGTGTGAGCCCTGAGTCAGACGTCCAGGCAGTTCAAATGAATGTAAAGGTTTATTTTGCAAGCTTCAGCTCTTAATAAGAACCTGAACTACTAACGGCCAAAGCAAATAGGCAGCAGAGAAGAGTCAGTGGAATTCAAGGTGAGCTGGTCTTGTGGGCGCAAAAGGAATGGAAACTTTGAATGTGTTTGTCCCCTCCCTTGGGCTCAGCACTGCGGTCATCACCTGTAAATTAACTTCACTTTGCTGTTCTCCGCTATTCTGTCCTCATTGTGCTATCCCAAGTGTAGGAAGTGAATGGCTTCTTCCTTAGCACTGGGCCGTCTTCCTGTCAGCACCTTTGCTGCTTGGAGAGGAAAGGAAAGTCATGAGAACCGAGTTACTGAAGCCGCAGTGAATTCATAGCCTGTGTCATAGCTTGGTTAAAGCCGGTAGAGAAGAATTGATTAAAACCACATTTCCTACTGGAAATAGATCTCATATGTACCCCAATGATTCAGGGGTGCGCTCCATTAAAGGCTGTGATGCTGTCTTGCATTTATACCTGGAAGCACTTTTTAATTCGGTTCAAGGTAAAAATCTATCATTTTGAACAAAGAAATAGGTAAAAATATTCACTTCAGGTTGATCTGTAGAAACACCAGCTGTTGCATAGGGAAACATCTGAAAAGAGAGAGAAAGTGACCCCCAGCCTTTCTTCCCCTTTGCTCACCTTGTCTCGAAAGAGAAGCAGCTGCCCGCTTTCCCTGCTGTGGCATCAACAGTTTCGATCTTCCCAGTACAAGCCCACCTTGTCCATCCCTCACGTGGACAACATCTCCTGAAGGCAGTCCCAGTGTCTCGTTGCTTGGAGCTGGAGAAGCAGCCTCAGTGCAGGTCGCCTGTTGTGGAAGCCCCGCTCCAGATGGAAAAATGGGATTGCCCACCTCCTCCTGAGTTGACCATTGTCTTGTCTTCATTTGCTTTAGCCTTAATACAGATCTTAGCAGCTGCCGAGGTCGGACGCGACGTGGTTTATTTCACCTTTGGAGATGCTGAGTTGATGAGAGACATTTACAGCATGCACATGTTTTTGAGCGACAGGGGCCAAGCGGTGGGTACGTATCTTCTCTCCCCCCCCCCCGCTTCCCTTTGGAAGCACCGCTGATGGCACAGAAGGAGCGGGGGGCGGGGGGGCAAGGCTTACTAGGATACTGTAGGTCAAGGAAAACAGCTTGGAGAAATTTTTAAAAAATGAATTTGGTATTGACAAGTCAAATTTGGGTGAATTAAATTTGACTAGGACTTAGAATAACTTTATTGTCACTTTGGAGGTACGCTAATCGGCATCCGTTAAAATGAAATTTCGTTGCATAGAACTCTCAAAGCAGGGGTTGGATGCTACCGGTTCTGCTCAGTTCTATAGAGCTGGTAGCTCTGAAGAGCAGCAGAACGTAATCACTGAACCACTAGTAACGCCGGTTGAATCCCAGCCCTGTCTCAAACGGTCACCCCCTCCAATATACACGACATAAGTATGACAAAATCAATCAATCAGTCAGCACAAAATCACGCATATACCCATACATATATTATACGACACAGAGAAACAACACAGTCCAGTTCGGATGTATACATGTACATGGCAAGAGAAACGAATCCTGTGAGTTTGCCTGATAGATGGCATATAGGGAACAAAGCGGTTACAGAATCTGGTAGTCCTGCTAGAAATACTTCGAAACCCCCTCCCAGAGGGGAGAAACAGAAGCAGACCGTGGGGTGGGTGTGTTTTGAACTCTTAAGCACAGAGCGCTTATAAGCAGCATCCTGAATAATGGGAAGCGAGCCTCCTATAATCTTCTCCGCTGTCCTCACTACTCTCTGTAGGGACTTTCTATCTGAGGCATGGCTGCCACCAAACCAAACAGGGATGCCATTTATTAAAACCCTCTCAATCGTGCTTCTGTATAAAAAATGGCCAGGACAGAAGGAGAAAAATGTGGTCTCCTCCTCATCCCACGCAGGAAATGTAGACACTGGTTTGCAGGCTTCCCTAAGGATGATGTGTGGAGAGACCAGTTCAGATTGTTGCTTATCTGCACCCCCAGATACTTAATACTGTTGGCCACCCCTATGGCTGCATAAATGGAGCTTACTTTCCATGAGAACAGAAGCTGAAGACCAGGGGACTTACACATCCTAATGTATCTCCACAGGCTCTCACTGCAACACATTCTCCAGAGGCTATGGAGTAGTAGTCTCCAACACCCTTAGGAATGCCTCCCCAGTTTGTAATTTTTAGTGGGGAGTTGTCTTTTGATCTGGGCAATTATGTGGCCTTTAATGTACTTTTAATTCGTGTGTTGGGTCTACTTTTAATTCGTGTGTCAGCCCAGAATCATCTTGGATTTGGGCAGTTTTTTTATTTGCTTGCTTGTTTGTTTTTATTTATATCCTGCTTTAAGTGAATCAGCTGTGGCCAGGAAGGCTGTAAAATGGGGCAAAACTCACTTAATACATGTCTCATTTAGCAACAGAAATTTTGGGCTCCGTTGGTGGTTGTAAGTCGAAGACTCCCTGTGTGTAATTGTTTTGTTTCTTTCTCTCTGTCTTCTTTGCATTTCCCAGGAGATGTTTACAAGCTGTTGCTTCGATACTACAATGAGGAATGCAGATGTTGCTCTACTTCCAGGCCAGAAGTCAAGCTGTACCCTTTCCTCTACAATGCCGTTGAGTCCTACATAAACCTTCCTGAGGATGAGGAAGGGCGGGGTTTGGATGATTAGAGCGACCGTGCGCCCCATGAGCGGCCTTTCCCTTTTTCCCGTGAAATATCAGCTGAATTGCAGGATGTCATGCGTAGGTTGTCTGAAGACCAACACTGACATTTGAGAAGAAATCTGTTTTCTTTCCAAAGCAGAAAGTAAACTTGATCACAGCATACAGAGTATAATCCATTTCTGCCCCCTTGCCAAGAAATGACGGTTGGTGGAAAACTTCCATTCCTTATACGATTCTTTGAAAATAGATTGATGCAGGCCTGCCTTTTTATTTTTATAATTGTCTCAGTGTCCACATACATTTAGGTATGGAGTTCGCTGGCATAGACACATGTTCCCCATATGAATACGTGATTTCTTTAGCACACACGGCAGTGATATAACTTTAAAGGGGTAGATTTGGAGGGGAAAAAAACCAAGAAAAATATATAAATATATGTATTTTGCATTACATACACAATTCCAGTCATCCTGATTTTTTTTTTAATTTAGATTTTAGTTTTTCAAATACTCTCTTTTGTTCTGTGTTAACAAAAGGCAAGAATAAGAGAGAAACAACGAGTTATCCAGAACTACCCTCTGAATGGAAAGTGGCTAGAAGAGGACAGGAACAGAGAATGGAAAAGACAGGGGTGTATTTGGGTTGCAAAAGACCCAGGATCGGAGTTAGAAATGGTAAACAGAGTTTTTGATGTAGACTTACATTTTAAAAACTTACAGCAAGGGCCATATATTTATGATATAATTAAGCAGCTTTTTTTAAAAAAAAAAACCAATTGCACAAAGTTCTTTGCTGGGTTTTATGATCCTGCTGAGAGGCAAATAGAGATATCTAGGTGCGGTGGCCTAGAGGTGGAGATCTCGCCTCTCAATCGGGAGGCTATGAGTTCCATCCCAGGTAGAGGCTAATATTTGCTCCTGCTTGAGCAGGGTGTTGGACTAGATGACCTCCAAGGTTCCTTCCAACTCTGCTAGACTGTTGTACTTAGGAGGTTCATGATATAAGGATAAAACCTCTGTACAGCAGGCATCAGGTGCGGTTCGGAAGGTCAGGAAAAGTGATTGACCATCCATCAGGTCATAAGCTCCACGGAGCTGGCTTGCTCCGTCTTTCCTAGCCTCCTTTCCAGGAGCTCTAAGAAAAGTTACCCCTGGCAGGTGGGAGAGAAAGGAAAGGAAAAGGGCAGGATACTGGTTGCTCCCTGGGAATTTAGCAAGAGAGGGGGGGGGGTTATTCACCAGGAGTCACGGTGCAAGCTGCTTTATGTCCAGTTCAGAGAGGAAGGCGATGGGGAGGAGGAGAAGAAGAAGACGGGGTTGCTTAGCGATGAATCATTGAGCCTGGCTGACCATCTCTCCCCCTTCCGAGTGAAAGAGCTCAGGGCAGAGAGGTGCATGGGAAAGGCTTGGCTCCACCTGCCTCCTGGCAGAAGACTCGGGACCCAAAGCTTGAGAAGGTCCTCCCAGGGCAGGTGAATCGGTTCTCCTCATCACATCTTCTGGATGGGCTCCATCCTGTCCTTCCCACCAGGGAGCTCCCCCCCTCCCTCAAACACGGAGGGCCAATGGGATAGTTGTCCAGCAGACAAGCCAACGTGGCCAGAACCAGAGCTTTTCTCTCTCGGCCAGTCCTTGGGGTCCCTGGCCGATCAATCGGGTATGGAAGCCGGCAGGTTGGGCAGCTGGTGCTTGGCTTTGACTGGAGCGGTGAGGGGGGCGGGTCTTGGCCTTGTGCTATGTATCCAGGATGCCCTTTGGTAATGGGAAAATAATAAAATGAATGGATGTTTTTCTCTGCATCTGCCTTTGGGTAGGTTCCTTTGAAGGCTCTCGCCTAGAGGTCTTGGACAACAGGTTGTCAACAACTTAATATAGGGTGGTGGTTGCCTAGTTTTTAGTTAGTGTTTCTCACCCTTGGCAACCCTAAAATGTGTGAACTTCAACGCCCAGAATTCTCTAGCCCACAGGGCTGGCTGGGGAATTCTGGGAGTTGAAGTTCACACATTTTAAAGTTGCCACGGTTGAGAAACACTGATCTAAGTTGTATCTGTCCTATATATCGTACAAACTTCTGTGGCCAATTATATCAAGTTCTGAAAATGACCTAGGAAGGTTATTGTTTAATTTTTGTCCAGGCCCCCCCCCCCCCCCGCTTTTTGGCTTACTTGTGGAAAGAAGGGGTGTTTCATTCTCATCACCTCTCTAGCTTGCAAACCTTCATGGTATTTTCATAGCTACAAGGGATGGAAATGCATTCTTTTAAAAAGGGAAAAGGATCCTTTCACTTCATGTTCCATGCTCTTGAGAACCAAAGGGTCTCTCTTCCGTCTGGAGAACCCCAGGGTGTCTAACACAATCCATACCCAAGCGCAAGTTGACTGAACGTTTATTATGAGTTTATTAAGATCATAAAACAGCGAAGAAATACCCAGAAGGAAGCTGGGCTTAACTAAAAAGCTTAGTTTCAACAAGAACATGGGAGCAAAGGAACACCTACCATCATTTTGAAGGAAACCAGGTGAGCTTTGAGCACATATACAACACCAGCCCCACTTGTTTCTGGTCTACACCCCCAAAAAGGCCATGTTAACAAGGCCTTGTATCCTGGAGGATTTCACACCAGATTCCCAGGAGGGGTGGATTCCTCTGTCTGGTAAAACTTGAAAATTGTGTTCCTTGTTTTTTAATCTCAATTTCATTTGCTCAGGGATGTTACCAATTGGCCTCATAGATTTTGAATTGTTACAAGTTCAAAGGGGTTACCCAACAAGTCAGTTGTGGATGTATTCTGAGCTAAGTGGATATCTGTAGAAGTTGACATCCCTAGAATTGTATGTTACAAGTTTAAGTAACGTACATCAAGCTTACTTAGTTTTTGGTATAACCTATACAAAGTTATATGCAGCAGAAACAACCTGGAGGCTAAAAACACACACTCACAAAGGGCTTGAGTGTCTTTCAAAGCTGCTCTACAGTTTAATTGAACACCAAATATTTGTCTTCAGGTGTTACGAATCAACCCTTCAGTCTATCTGAATAATTCCCCTCCCCCCCTTTTTTTAACATCAAAGGCCAGTCCGAAGCAGGCAGGTGTTTCCCCACCCCCTTGCAACTCCACCAACAGCAGGGAATTTTAGTCTTCCCTGTTTCTGACCTTTTAAAATCTCTGCCGCTTCCCTTCTAAAAAAATATCATTGTTTAGAAACAAAGGCCTGGAGTTGAATGAAAGAGATGATTCTTCAGGATATACATTTTAATTATTAAAAGAAGCATCTGTTCTTTAGAAACTGGCTCTTCTGGGAAAGGTTTAGAGCAAAGAAATTGCTCCTGAGAGTTGCTAAGTTTACTCCATCCTCATTTCGTGAACATTACATTTTACTTTTCTTTGCTTTACTGAAAACCAACACGGGGAAAGTGTTTCAACCAAAGGCTGAATTTCAATCCGGGAATTTAAGTACAGACAGAAGAGTGGCTTTTCCAGTTTCACCTTCTGCTGTGAAAATTGTCCATCCAGATGGTAACAGCTAGTCAACTTTAGCTAATTTCAAAAAAGATAAGTAGAACTGAACCAGGCTGATACTTGGACCAGTCCTCAGAACCTCCTCTTAGTCTAAACCAGAAGTTCAACATGACTTCCCATTTACCGGGCTTTTAAATGATCAAAATTATCAATCATTAACAATTTCCTTTTTAAAAAGGCATTTTTAAAAATATTGTTCATACATAGTTAATTTTTTTAATACAATTAATACAGCATGCATGTCTCCCTTGATTTCTGATGTTCCTTTTTTAAAAAAAGAAAAAAAATCGTTGTGATGATCCTCATTACCAAAATAAGAACAGAAAACTAATAAGTCAAGGGAAAAACTAGCATTTTGAAAGATGGATTGATCATATGGCATCTACAAAGGTCATGCAATCATTGACATACAACACTAATAAAATGCAATTTTTGAAAGTTTACCAGATATCAATATGCAAAAATGAGGCAGGAGGAGGAAGAAGAGGAGGAGGAGAAGGAGCAAACTGCTTGGAGAGTTGTATCCTGGATAAAATACCTTGAAGTCTGTTCAAAATTCCATTCTGTTATTGTCAAGAAAACTGCACGTAGTGTCCATATAAGAAGTGAACTCTCCTAATTTGAGTAAATTTTCATAAAGTTCTCCCCATTGTTTTTCTGAACAAGGAAGACTCATTCAAACATTTGAAAAGAATACTTTAAATCAACTGATGCGAACTGGAAGATTGATTCAGAGAAAACCAAATAAAATAACAGAATATATATGCGGCGGGAGGGGAGGGGGATCCTTGATGAGCAATGTCTGTCTATCGCAAGGAGCAATCACTTTAAAAACATGTGGACACCCTTGTATTTTTTGGACCAAAATATAACAAATGAATGCTCCAGCTCCTCCAGGACATTTCCAGACAGATCACTCTCTTGAGCTTCAAAACTTGGAGGTGTTGACAAAAAGAATGGTTGAACCCAGGACAAAAGTCTCTTCCTTTCTTGTAGACATTTCCCAAAACTTGGCTATTGATCTTCAACCATTTTGTAATTCAGAGCTCTTGTTTCTTGGGAATGAGGGTGTTAAACTAAAACCAGACTTCCAACTTCCCCCTTTTAGAATGCCACTGTGGTCTGTATTGAATTAAAAATGGTTTTTCTGAGAATGAAATGGGCTAAGATTAATGAGCATTGGGAAAGAGTTAAATTATCCCTGTGACTGCCTATCTTTTCCAAACATACTTAACTTTTTTAAAAAACAAATTGGCACAATTTATAAAACGTAGCATATCAGCTCTGTATTTTCCTGTCATCCCCACCACTAAACAAGCTTCATATTTATGGTCTTGTTATGCATGCAGCCGATTCCCTCGTGCATTTATCATTGCTTAAGTGAAGGCAACCTACCAGCTGTATAGGAAGCGCCTCTTTCCTTCCCATCCATTTCTACACCACCTGACTGTCAGCTTCTGCAGACTTCTTACAATTCAGAACTGAGTGACACCCAGGCACTGGTGGTTAAAAGAGATGCCATCAGAGGCGGTCTTCAGCAGGTTCTGACCAGTTCTGGAGAACCAGTAGCGGAAATTTTGAGTAGTTCGGAGAACAGGCAAATACCACCTCTGGCTGGAGATTTTACAGTATCCTTCCCTTGCCACGCCCACCAAATCACCCACAGAACCGGCAGTAAAAAAAAAATTGAATCTACTACTGGATCCCATATGTGTTCATTTATTTTATTACTTACTTACTCACTTACTTACTTACTTACTTGATTTATCAATCGCTTACAAGATAATAGGCATAAGTATAAACATGAGTTAGAATACAGGAAATAGGTATGAATAAATGGGGACAATAGGACAGGGACGGGAGGCACGATGGTGCACTTATGCACA